AATTTAATACTTATCAATGCTCATCAATGATGGCAGTCACCAACATGGAGAAGTGGTTGACCGTGGTCAATCCGCGCGCTTTGTCTCGCTCAGAGGAGGAATCGAGGCAAATGAAGTTTTATTCATTAAATAGAAGGAATTTCCAAATTTTTGCGTAAACCAATACATCATTTTAATCGTAAAGATTTCTACTTTCAGAAACCCACCAGGATTTTTTCGATCTCTCAACTTTCCTTACCTTATAATCTGAAAAACTAAACCTTGTAGCAATTACATTGCATCCAAACCCCTCCATTCAGAAGGTTATATTTTCTTTCAGAAGCTGTTTCATGAAATCGGACACCAAAATTTTGAAAATATAATAGTTTTCTTCCTGAGGAGTATTTGAAATGTTGTGGATGTTCAATATTTCAAAAAATCGTCCCGTTGTTCCGTTTTCTGTGCACACGCGAGTTTTTGACATTCAAACATTCATAACTTTCTTCATAATCAACTTTTTGCAAATGTCTAAGGCTAATTAGAAACTAGAAGATTAGAGCTTTCGAACAAGCACCTGAAAATTTTCCAGCGATCATTTTTCAAAAAATAGTCCCGTTGTTCCGTTTTTGGGTGGTTTGGGGTCCGATTTTTGAGAAGGCGCGAGTTTTCGACATTCAAACGTTCATAACTTTCTTCATACTCAACTTTTTGCAGATGTCTAAGGCTAATTAGAAACTAGAATTAGAGCTTTCGAATAAGTGCTAAAACTTCTTGAAATAATCACTCGCTCAAAAAATAGTCCCGTTGTTCCGTTTTTCCACCTTGATTTTTTTCAAGCCTTTTTCACTTCATAACAACTGTGAAATTTCCTGAAATTTTTTCTTCTGCCTCAATTTTCCTACGGCGTCTCTAGAACTCAATTCAGCAAATTCGCTACACTTTGTTTCGCTTAGATTTTATTTGAAAGCATCGAAACTCTCTTCAGTTTGTCTGCTTACGGCCGCTGACAGAGGAGGCGTTTTTATGGGAAAACGCCTCGGGTATACGCCGTGCACCTATCTGTGGGCAGAGTTCGCACTCGCATTTGAAAGTCTTCTGTTTTCCTGAAGAAGGTGTTAGTATCCTGATTGAGTTGCATTGTGCTGTTATATGGCACTCTTGTTTCACTTTCCCATGAACTGCTCTACACTTTGTTCTCCTCGGGATTTCAGGAATGTTTCATCATCGAAGACAGACCATGTTTTT